CGCGCACAGCCGCATGCGCGAGCAGTCTTCACAAACAAAGCGCGCGTCAGCATTTGTAACTGAAAGCAGCCTTCTGTTAGTGAGGTTCATATTTTAAATATATAAGTCCACTGCATTCCAAACCACATAAATGATGACTTCGTAGAGCATTTGTAAGGAAAATACCGACGGGCGAGACCGCACACTTCAGTGTAACATCAAAGAAAGCGTGCGTCTCTCACAGCGCATCCGAAGCCCGCGAATGTCCTTGTAACCCGCTTCAACCTTTCCGAACGTTATGAAAGATTATCTTACGGAAGGTTCGAGTGGTGTATGTCTGAGGAATTGGAAGCAAGCAGAATACGGGTGTTTCTAAAGCAAACTCCGCGTCATCGTGCATCTGGTTAAACACTAAGCTCAGAATCAATCCAGAATCGTTGGAGAGAGAATCGCGATGCATCGATGGATCAATTTTGTTCTCCCACCCCTTGTGTGTGTGTGTGTTCGTTCTGCAGTTCTAAAATATTGATTTAATGTTATACACAGTAATTGTTATGCTTACATTTAGGCAGAACCGTAATTTTTTGAGGTGCATGAAACCACTGTTTTTTTTTTAAATAATTTATTGTGAAGTGAAATAATTAAATGACTGTGTATAACATTAAATCAGTATTTTAGAACGGCAGAATACACACAAATATCTCCATTAATCTCAAAACAGCTAATTTGTTCCAGATTTGAATACTGTGTGATAGGAAATGTTTATCATACATTATAATGAACTGTGGAAAACAGCAGAACTGGCTCTTTGAAATATATCATTGTTTATATGTCATGTGAAAAACCCAGCCCCACACATATACTGTGTATATATATATATATATAATAAAACCTAAATGAATTTTTCACTGTAACTAGGCTACAATGCCTTCAAAGTCGTTCTAAAATAGGAACCAAAGCGTGATTTGCTATTAGTCCTCTAGATTCAGTTTTCTGTGTTCTGTTTTCTCACAAAAATGACTCCAGAAGCCTCAAGTAGCATATTTATAAGTATATTTGAAAGAAAATCTAGTTCCAACATGGTTTTTCTATACTTTGACTCACTGGGTCTCTAACCTGCAATATGCACTTTAAATAAATGTTAGTATGCAGTAAACATTAGTCGTATAAAACGTACTTTCTCAGCAACAAAATTGTGGCCAGTGAAAATGCTGAGTGGCTAGTAATTTTGGAAAACCACTAGCCACAGTGGCTGCTGAGCAAACAAGTGAATGTCCAGCCCTGTATGCAGTGAATATGTGTATTATTGCAGGTAAAATGTGGTGTTTAACCGGAGTAAGGTGGTGGACTCTGCCACAGGGTCAGACCAGATGCACTTTAGTCTTCATCACCGAGTACCAAGAGCAGAAGGAAGAGCAGGACCGGACTGTCGGTGTGATGATAGCGGAGCGCTGCAGTCATGCCCGAGCCCTGAGCCCTGCAGTGTTCACACTCACAACTTCAGCAGTGCAGTAAAGAACAGGGCTTTCAGCAAACCCTGAAAACAAAGTACAACAATTGAGAGTTAGTGAACAAGTGATCAGAAGGTGTCGCAAAAACATTTAGGCTGAAAAAGTTGTAATTAAAGAGGTCATATGATGCTATTTTCAAAGCTCATTATTTTGTGTATTGGGTGTAATAGAATATGTTAGCATGCTTTAATGTTCAAAAAATGCATTATTGCAGATCCTCTATGCACAGTCTTTCTAAAATGCATCGATTTCCACAAAGCCCCTCCTTCGAAAAGCGCAGTGTGCTCTGATTGGCCGGCTGACCCAGTGTGCTGTGATTGGCTGAACATCTCAAGCATGTGTCGGAAATGTACCGCCCTTACCATAATCGTGAGCTTTATCTTCCAAAGCAATTATAAGAGCAGTTAATAATGTGGTCAGTTTTATTCTATCCCAACATGCACGTCCTGCTTCAGCTCTACTGGAGCGTGCCGTGGGAAGCAGAACACCTGGTGAATCATGTCTGTCGTTATACGCAGAGAACAGAGGATACTACATTTGTAAACCACTGACTCCTCATTGCGTCCACTTTCAGAAGGCCAAAAGTGCTTTGCTTTCACACAGAAACACACAGCGTCTCCACGGTGTGGCGGCAACAACACTACTGCCATACTGACACCACACCTTCTCTCTGTGCGCTTCCATGTGGGTGGGGTTATGCTAATGCTTCCACATAATGACGTAGATATGTGAGGGAGAACCCAATCGGTCTGGATCCGCCTTCTCTTTTACATAGAAAAATCCCTTTTGTGGGAGACTTTGAGCTTTGTAACTTTGCCTATCTTATACATGCACAAACAACTACAAAACACACTAAAGAAGGAAAGCTTGCGTTATGTGACGCTGTTTGCTGAGAATCGATTGTCTTCCGTTCCACGTCCTGTATCTGTGTGTGTCTGTACAGTAAAGCTGTGTGTCTGTCTTGCAGCTGGTGATGGAGTTTTGTGGAGCTGGTTCGATCACAGACCTGGTGAAGAACACTAAAGGGAATACCCTGAAGGAAGAATGGATCGCGTACATCTCCAGAGAAATCCTCAGGGTATCAGACACGCTCTCACACACTGATGCTGGCTCTCTCTCTCTCTCTCTCTCTCTCACACACGCCTGTGCTTTCTCTCGGCAGGGTTTGGCCCACTTACACGCTCATCACGTCATCCACAGAGACATTAAGGGCCAAAATGTGCTTCTGACTGAAAACGCTGAGGTCAAGTTAGGTGAGCGCTTCCTGCACATCTAACACACACTGATCCTAGAGGTCTGTAGATTAATCCTTTTATGTGTGTTTCAGTTTATAGTTTGGTTTGAAAGTGTACAGTCAAAGTGCTTGTTTGACAGAATGAGCCCATAGCACCAGCTAGCGTCCATCCAGCGCTAATGCTCACAATCATGATGTCATGTCTAATATTCAGTAATTCACTTTTGCCTTAAAGGGCAGGATTGCCCGCTGGGTTTGATTATCTGAGATGTTTTTTGGAGGGCAACAATCAAATGAAAACAGTGCAGCAGTACAGACTGAGCACACACTGAGCTGAGGCAAGCTGAAGCTGTGTCATCAGTAGAGTTCATCTCTATCTGTGATCTTAGTCCAGCCCGAGGGTGGCGGTCTGATGTTTATCATCGCTGAAGCAGATCGATTGCTTCTCTTCCTCTTGTGGTACTGTTTTATGGCGCAGGTCTTTGTTAAGCGCTCTGTGAGGAGTGTTTCAGGAGCTCTCTCTTGTTGCTCTGCAGTGGACTTCGGCGTCAGCGCTCAGCTGGATCGAACCGTGGGCCGCAGGAACACCTTCATCGGGACGCCGTACTGGATGGCTCCCGAGGTCATCGCCTGCGACGAGAACCCAGACGCCACGTACGACTACAGGGTAAGAGCTACACAGAGTGTGTTGAGTTAGAGACGCAGTGCTGAGTGCGTGAATGTGGCGCTGACAGCGCTCCTTCTGTGTTTCAGAGCGATCTGTGGTCCTGTGGGATCACGGCGATAGAGATGGCCGAGGGCGCTCCTCGTGAGTACTGCTCTTCACACACCTTCCTTTCATTTCTTTGACTGCCTTTCTGTGCATTTCTTCCCTGTTTTGTCTCCTGACTTCCAAAAGCTTCTATTCCACTATTTGAAAACTGAAAACACAAAGAAAGCTGCTCTTGTCCTTACTTTGAACAGTCAAAGCACAGTAGATGTATTGTAACATATCATATTAGTCCGTGCCACTCTTGTGTTGAAGCTTGCATATATTAGGTATAGATATATCTGGTTTGCGTACATTCGGATATGCAGTCGGTCCTCACACGTGAACATCACCTTTAACGTCCTTGGGTTTGATTGAGTGTGTGTGTTGGTGTTTTGCAGCGTTGTGCGATATGCATCCCATGCGAGCGCTCTTTCTCATACCCAGAAATCCTCCGCCCAGACTCAAGTCCAAGAAATGGTCAGTACCTTCATCTGGTCCGTGTAGTTACTGTGGAGGGTGAAAGGTCATGTTGAGGACACACTCTCCTGTCCTTCACAGGTCTAAGAAGTTCTTCAGCTTCATCGAGGGCTGTCTGGTGAAGAACTACACGCAGCGGCCGCCCACCGATCAGCTGCTGAAGCACCCCTTCATCAGAGACCAGCCCAACGAGAGGCAGGTGCGCATCCAGCTCAAAGACCACCTGGACCGCTGCCGCAAGAAGCGCGGAGAGAAAGGTACGGCCGCTCCACCGCAGGCCGATGACACTGACAGCGCTTGTGTGTTTATGAGTCAATGACGTGCTTGTGCTCTGACCGCAGACGAGACCGAGTACGAGTACAGCGGCAGTGAGGAAGAGGAGGAGGAGGCTCAGGAGCAGGAGGGAGAGCCCAGGTAATGTGCACACCGGCCAGTATTATACGCCATATATTGTATATCATCTGTGTTCCTTTATGAATCCGTTTGATCGAGTGAGCCTTGTTTTAAGCTTGCTTAAACACACCTGTGGCACATCGGCTGAGTTCTGTGTTTCTCTGCTCAACAGTATGCAGTTAGAGGTCAAGGAATAAAGTCAGGTCCGGTCATGCTTATTTGGTGCTTCATACGTGAGAGATGTGCGCAGCTGTGTGGCATAGCATATCAGAGACTGTGGGTGTGACATCAGGCCTCAGAGAAGCGTTCATTAACATCAATGTAAAGCACCCGAAATAGGGAATAAACAGAGCCAACAGTGTCCAGATAAACATGGCAGCCTGTCATCACACCTGTGCCGCAGGCCTCATTAGCATGCTAGCCAGCCTCTCCCCATATATTGCAGAGTCATGAGGACATCATGGGTCAGGAGGAGAGATGTGATGCTGACGAGGCTTCATTCACGTCTCCATTCATGTCAAATTCAAGAGTCAAGAAGCGTTTATTTGTCATCTGCACTGGGGACACTGGGGAACTGGGCATTGAAATGCTTGTGACGAGGCTCAGACGTACAGTAATTTTAACAGGACTTTAAGCAAATGTAGTATGCATGGTGGAGGGCTTAAGTATATCAAAATGATGTGCTGTTTTGTAGGCAGGACAAATAAATACAATAAAGACAAATAAGGGGCAGTAAACAAATATATGAGAGTCCTGAGTAAGAGTACTGATATAACAAATACAATAAATACAGAAAGTAAAAAAAGTATTGAAAGTAGTATGTAGACCTGAGTGAGAATACTGAAGTAGAAGTCACAGTGTCCGAAGTGGCAATTATTACGTGTCAGAGGTAAAGTGCTGCAGCGCTTGATGGCTGTTAAGAAGGCTAATGGCTTGAAGATAGAAGCTGTTCCTCAGCCTGGTTGTCTGCTGAACGGCATTGAAGCAGACAGATGGTGAGCAGGGTGAGTGCAGTCCGTGATGATGCTGCAGACCTTTGTCAAGCAGCATGTCTGGTAAATCTTCTGTAAGGCCAGGAGTTTATGACCAGCTCAACTGTTCTCACCACTCTCTGAAGAGCTTTGCGATCAGAAGAAGAGCAGATGCCATACCATACAGTGATGCAGCCGGTCAGAAAGCTCTCTATAGTGCAGCGGTAGAAGTTTGACATGATGTTAGAGGAGATGCCAAACCTCTTCAGCCTCTGCTGGAAGTAGAGACGCTGACGGGCTGTTCTCACTATGCTGTCTGAGTGGAGGCTCCAGGAAAAGTTCTCAGAGATGTGTACTTGTAGCTCCTGACTCTATACTTCCACCCCATCGATGTGAATGGGGATGTGACCACCTCTCTTTGACCTCCTGTAGTCCACAATCATCTCCTTGGCCTTGCTGACATTTACAGAGAGATTACTGTCAGCACACCATTCTGAGTGTGCACTGACCTCATCTCTGTAGGATGCAGGGATGTGATTTTTCCGTATAAATACAGATTTCTGTATTTTCCGACATCTGAGGGACGACCTATGTGATTCGCGTAGATCTCGAGTTTGTTGGTATCTCACGCGCCATCGTTATCATCCTGTTTGAATTGCGCGTGGGATTGCGCATCGGGCGCACCGTCGTCATCATCCAACCCGACAATTGGCGCCTTCAGCTTTCTGCCTCAATCAGGACGACTGAAATCGCAAAATTGCATTATTTTTAAGACCAAGATTTAATGGCTTAAAACAGTACAAATGTTTTACTTGTTTATAAGTAACGCTGGAATAAAGTGTCTACTTAAATGTACTAAAACTGCAAATGCTGCGTTCATAATGACTGTTATTATTGCATGCGGATTATGTGCCTATCCGAATTGAGTAATTACATGAATAAGGGGGGGGTTCCTTCTTTTTTGTCCTTGTCCGATCACATGCCTGAGGATGTCTCATCACCATTAGTGAAGAGTCCTAGGATGGTTGTATCGTCAGCATATTTGAAGATAATGTTTGAGCCATGCTTAGCAGAGCGGTCGTAGGTAAACGGGGAGAACAAGAGAGGGCCGAGTACAGATCCCTGTGGGACACCAGTGCTGAGTGTGAGTGCGGAGAATGTGTGTCTGCCAATTCTGACCACCTGGGCTCTGCCGGTCAGCAAGTCCAAGACACAGTTACATAAGTAACTGTTGAGTCCCCGATCCTTCAGTTTAGCTACAAGTTTTGAAGGGATGATGGTGTTGAATGCAGAGCTGTAATCAATAAACAGCATCCACACATAAGTGTCTCTTCTCTCCAGGTGTTTCAGGGCAAAGTGAATGGCCATTGCGTTGGCTTCATCAGTGGATCTGTAAGCAAACTGGAAAGGGTCCAGGGTGTCAGGTAGAGAGGGGCAGATGTGCTCAAAGCACTTTATGATGACTGATGTCATTGCTACAGGGCGGTAGTCATTCAGGCAGGAGACCGTTGTTTATTGGGAACGGGGGTGATGGTGGTCCGCTTGAAGCATGTGGGGATCACTGTCAGACAAAGAGAGTGTGAAGATGTTGGTGAAGACATCTGCTAACTGGACAGCGCAGGTCCTTAGGATACGTCTGTGGATGCCATCAGTTCATGCAGCTTTCCGAGTGTTGACTCTCTTAAAGGCCCTGCTCACTTCAGGTGTGGTTCGGGCCAGAGGGCTGGTGTCGTAGAGACTTCTCTGAACACTGTTTTTTCCTCTTCGAGGCATTGTCTGTAGGCAGGGAGCAGCAGCATGCTAATGTGGAGGGGTGTGGGAAAGCTAATGTGTTGGTAAAATTTAGGAAGAGCTTTCCTCATATTCACCCTATTAAAATCCCCAACAATGATGAAAGCAGCCTCAGGCCGGGCGAATTCAAGTCTATTATTAGTACTGTACAGTTCGCCAAAGCTTCCATTTTGTCGGCGTGAGGCAGAATGTAAACCTGTGAGGATGACTGAGCTAAATCCCCACGGGCGCACTTTAATGGAGAGTCGTTCAAGATCGTGTACTGTAAAATCTGTGTTCGAGGAGTGTTAAGCATAAAGCACACCTCCTCCTCTGCTCTTACTGCAGTTTAGTGATCAGTCATGATGAGAAACAGAGAATCCAGCTGGTGTTACAGACGGTCTGTACCCTCGTCTCACAGCAGGCCAGCACGCAGCAGTTCTCTCTGTCCCGTTGGAATGTGATTCTGGCATTAAGCTTGTCCAAATTTGTCATCCAGAGACTGTATGTTGGCTAACAAGATGGTAGGGAGAGGAGGGTTGAAGCTTCTTCAGTTATAAACCAGCTCTACAGAAGAAAATACAGCGTTGTTAGTTTCAGTTATTCGTCAGCCTCATTCAGTAGTATCAAGTAGTTAATATTACTGAGCGTTAATTGTCTTTGAGCCCCCAAATAAGCAAGCTAAAGGCGACAGCGGCAAGAGACCCAAACTCCATCAGGTGACAGTAGTGGAGGAAAGAACCCCTATGAAATGAAGCTGCTTTAAATAAAAGAAAAAACAACTCAAACTCAGTGGGAGCCACATGTACTTGAATTCCACTCAGTGTGTAGAGAACCCAAATGAGCTAGATAATGATGTATTTAAGTGTGCATCAGAGGTGTGTCTCGCTTCTGTGTGTGTGACATGTGAAGAGGAACAAGCCCTGACTCATTCACACATCGTGATGCAACTCTGACCTCTCTACTGTTGCACTCACCAGCCCATAGAGTCTGAAGAGACAGCGTTGCCAGACATCGCTAGGAAAAACAGCAAACTAAAATGTGTGCAAAATAAACATAAAAAGTACAAATGCTGTGTTTTGGAAATAAGACCAAAATATTATGAGCCACAACTGCCCAGTTTAACTCTAGGTTCATCAACAATTACCCCATCAAGTTCGGTCAGAAATCTTGGTGTAATCTTTGATGATCAGCTGACCTCCCAGGTGCACATTGCAAAGACCGCTGGATCTTGCAGGTTTGCATTGCACAACATCAGAAAGATCAGGCCCTTTCTAACGGAGCATGCTGCACAACTTCTTGTCCAGGCCCTTGTCATTTCTAGGCTGGACTACTGCAATGCTCTTCTGGCTGGACTTCCATCAAGCACAATCAAACCTCTACAAATGATTCAGAATGCAGCGGTACGACTGGTCTTCAACGAGCCCAAAAGAGCCCATGTTACACCTCTCTTTATCTCCTTGCACTGGCTACCGGTTGCAGCTCACATCAAGTTCAAGACACTGATGCTCAGGCTCAGGCTCAGCACCTCACTTCGCTCACTCTTACCAGTCTGACAAGATCACACTGCCGTTCCTCCTCTCTCATAGAGGCTTCTGTGCTGAGAAGTCAAAGGTTTGAGAAGCCTGGAAAACACTTGCCTCACAGAATAAAATCTTTGTTTTTGAGTACATTTTTATAGGGAATATGAATAGTTTTCTTGTTATTATGTTAAGCTCTAAGGTTTTTCTTTGATTAGAAGTTGCTGTTTGTGAGAAAGACTGTAAGAGTCACATATCTGGTTTCATTCTCTGGGATTTATTTGAGGTGTATTTGTCATTATCTGTGTCTCTTGAACGTGAACAGTATGTAACTGTGTGTGTGTGTGTGGCAGCTCTATCGTGAACGTGCCGGGCGAGTCGACTCTGCGGCGGGACTTCATCCGTCTGCAGCAGGAGAATAAGGAGCGCTCGGAGGCCCTGAGACGCCAGCAGCTCCTCCAGGAGCAGCAGCTCCGCGAGCAGGAGGAGTACAAGCGGCAGCTGCTGGCCGAGCGACAGAAGCGCATCGAGCAGCAGAAGGAGCAGAGGAGGCGTCTGGAGGAGGTGTGGATATGAGGCTCGTCAGGAGCGTGCAGATGTGTGAACGCCTGCACACTGCTGAGATAGGGAGCAACCGTGTAGACTGTGTAGACTGAAATGCTGTGCCAGACATCACTGCTGATCCGTGCAAGTCTCCAGTTTGTAACAGCACTGAATATGTCTAATCTGCACAAACACGTCTGATCCTCCACCAACACACGCTGAACATGCCAGAGGAAAGGATAGGTCTGTCAGATCTCCATTCGGCCCACAGGTCACATGATCATAAACTCACATGCCACACGAAACACTAAATACTTCCACCTCGCTGCCAAATTTGCAGTTTTGAAAGCAGAATCAGTCACTTCTTTGGCATGTTGTTCTTTTGTTGGTTCAAGACTAGAAGAACAGTGTGAAGTCTTTCAGGAACTGTATAGACCCTTCTGTCTTTTATGTTGAAACTGGAAATACTCCGTTTTTAACATGACACAATTAGTGAAAGAACAGGAAGTGGAGATGAAGATTGTGCGTTTGTCTCGTGTCCTGCAGCAACAGAGACGCGAGCGCGAGATGAGGAGGCAGCAGGAGCGAGAGCAGAGGAGGAGAGAGCAGGAGGAGAAGAGACGCCTGGAGGAGATGGAGAGGAGGCGCAAAGAGGAGGAGGAGCGCCGAAGGGCAGAGGAGGAGAAGAGGAGGGCTGACCGCGAGCAGGTGATTGTCAAATCAGCTTTCAGTGAAAGCCTGAATAAAGTGATGGATTTAGGGCTCAGTCTACTGTACGCTCATAGTGTATCTGCTAGTTTTCACATTCCCTGCCAGTCTCAACTTTCTGAAAGCCCTGCTAACTGCTCGTACACTGACGCAGATTTCACAACTCGGATCGATTCTGATTCACACACCCTTGATTCAGTTCAGTACTGACTTGTTTGTATAAATTTCAAGTACGTGTCAGTTTTTCTTAAAGGGGTCATGAGCTGAGAAATCAAAATTCCCTTGATCTTTTGACATATAAGAGGTCACTGTACTATAAAAACATCCTGTAAGTTTCAGAACTCTAGTCTAAAAACAGCTTATACTGAAGCCGATCTGCCAAAACCACAGCATGTGGAGTGAGCCGCTCTATGATACAGTGTGTATCTGTGTGAGCGCTCTGTGAAGAGCGAGAAAGATGTGTGTTTACAACACGTAGCCAATCACAGTCATGTCTGTTAAACACAATGGCCAATCAGAGCTGTTTGAGAATCCGCTCAACACGCTCGCAGGAAATGCTGGTATCGTCACATTTTTAACATTTCAGTACCCACTGCTACCGACGTTGGTACTTTTGACAACACTAGTGCAGACTATATTGGATCTGACAGTAATGTGGCACCACACAAGTGTGAGGAACTGTTTTTATTACGTGCTCACTATTGCTTTGTCTGTTATTACAGATCATTTGATATGTACTGAGTATTTATGCGTCCATCTGTGAAGGCTGTAGGCTGTCAAACACACACACAACTGTTAGCCAATCACAGCAGTGGGCGTTTGTCATACGCATTATGTGTGATAGATGTCACTATTGAATGGAAACATGCAAACGATAGATACTTGAATGATCACAGGACACATTTGTGCAGTCACTGTCCATCAGCCTGAGTGCTGGTGTGTGTCTGATGCGTGTTCACCTGTGTGTGTGTGTGTGTGTGTGTGTGACAGGAGTACATCCGCCGGCAGCTGGAGGAGGAGCAGAGGCACCTGGAGATCCTGCAGCAGCAGCTGCTACACGAACAGGCCATGCTACTGGTGAGAGACGCGTGCTTCACCTCAGCTCACACACACAGACAGAGCTGCTTCATAAAGACACCGCATCATTATATTGAATTTCATACCAGTCAGACTGTTGCTGAGGATCATTTCAACACTTGATGCAGGAGAAGTGACTCGGGTGCAGAGCATGTGAGCGAAGCGGAGCGGTGTGACCGCGGTGTGTATTCCGCTCAGGCTCGCCGTAAACCAATTCCCGCTCAGACATAACATTTCTCTAGTAGGCCTTGTTTACTGTTTGTACCGAAATTCTTGGATAATTGTCTAAAATTAAGCATGCTGATAAATAGCAATTATCATGTTTCAGAGCGAAATTCTTACATTGCCGTCTCTTTCAGGTACTTCCTGCAGCCAAGAGATAATGGCAATAAATCGGTGAAGGCCGATGAGCTGGGCTCGTTACGACTCAACATCGTTTACACGGAGGACCACGTGTTCCCCACAGAGCATTATAACCCACTCCGAGACCTGCTGCTGCAGTCCGCGCATGTCGAGGTCAGTGAGCTCACGCGTGTCTTCATCTAGTTAGTCCTGTTGAAGTAGAATAGTAATCTGTAAGTGTGTTTAGAGGAGTATCTATTTACTGTTACAAATTCTGAATTGCTACATTATGTAATATAAACCAATATAATAATAACTAATGTAATAAATATAATGGAATATAATATTCATAGTGTAATATTAAAACATTGTAAACAGCATGTGAGCGAAGCGGAGCGGTGTGACGCTCCGCTACGTTTTCCGCTCTATGGATGTGCGCTCCACTCAGTCGCTCTAACCGCCCAAGCAAGCGCTCCGTTAATATTCCGCTCACGCTCGCCGTAAACCAATTCCCGCTCAGATCCAGCTCTGACATAAAATTTCTCTAGTAGGCCTAATTGTTTACTGTTTGTACCGAAATTCTTGGATAATTGTCTAAAATTAAGCATGCTGATAAACAGCAATTATCATGTTTCAGAGCGAAATTCTTACATCTTAATTTGATTAATTGTAATGTATTAATTAAAATTTATTAAATATATGAATCTAACCTTAGCAAACCTAACCTGAACTCCATAACTGCTCTACTATTCTCGATCTCTACAGATTCTCGATCTGGAGCAAGCAAATCACCAAAGGGCATTCTGGGTTGAGCGAGCGGCGCGGAGCGTATTGAGCGAGCGGAGCGGAATCTTGAGAAAGGCGCTCTGCGCTCTTAAGGAAATATTACCACTCCGCTCCGCTCACATGCTCTGCTCGGTGACAAAATGACGCATACCCTCTCGTTCACCTTTTGTCAGAGGTTCATAATCCAAGTAAACCATCTTAAAAAATGCGTCATCTAATTCTTTCTTCCGTGCATTTGACACGGAGAACTGGGGACGCTGGAGAGGGAAAAAATTCTTTATCTCCCTTTGGCCGGTTGCAGTTTTTTCTGTAAAGAACAAATTTGCGTGCATTATATTAGATTATAAATTACTGCTGCCTACATCTAGCCTACATTCTGTAGGTCTACCTATTGGTTCGGGTCAGTTTTTTTTTAATAGGCCTAAGTGGTGTAGGCTAATATCTTCTGTACTCTGTAGTTCTGTATTTAGGCCTATATACAGCTGTGTGTTAGCTTAGGTCTACAGTTTAACTGAGATTATTTAATAACTACGGAGCTCCGAATATAATTCGAATTAACAATTCGTTTCTACGACGTCAGCAGGTTTTATTATTTTTTTAATTAATTTATTATTATTTATTAATTTTAAGCCATAATGATTTTAATAAGTAATTACGAAATATAATAATTCGTTCCACGATTTAGGCCTACTAAAACTAGGGAATGACCGAATTAACGAACGAATGAATTCGTGGCAGCTAAGCCTAAACAAGAGAATGAATACTTAATTCGTGGCCATAATTTAGACTAAACGAAAAAAATAATTCTTAATTCGTGGCCATAATGTAGTCCTAGCATAAAAGAGAACTAGCCTATTCTAAATTCGTGGCCGTGATTTTGTCTGCATGTCATGATCGGGGCTCCGTACAACCGAATATAACCTTAGCCTACCTGTTTATTCATTTATTATGGTATGTAACTAGCTCACCTTTTGCTGCACCATGTTTGCGTAGCACATCCTCGTGCTTTCTGGCAATGTGCCGCTTCAGATTCCAATATGAATCTCCCCGCACTCCCTCTCAGTTTCTTCTCCCTGCTCATTCTTAACTTTGATTTTTACTGTACATTTATGTATAAGGCTTGCAACTTACCTGAACTCCATAACTGCTCTACTATTCTCGATCTCTACAGATTCTCGATCTGGAGCAAGCAAATCACCAAAGGGCATTCTGGGTTGAGCGAGCGGCGCGGAGCGTATTGAGCGAGCGGAGCGGAATCTTGAGAAAGGCGCTCTGCGCTCTTAAGGAAATATTACCACTCCGCTCCGCTCACATGCTCTGCTCGGGTGTGAAGTATGAACGGGGCGAGGCATGAGAGAAACCATCTGTTTAACAGCACATGCTCTGGTTATTAGCGATCATGTGCTGCTCGTGTCTGCCCGTCACTGTAGAACTAGATTAATATATCAAATCAAAGCTAATATGATTTATTTTATGCGTAGTTTAAAGCAGTATTCTACGTTTGAGATGATGGATGTCATGAATATCTGCAGCTGTCAACAACAACAATACTGCTGAGAAGCACATTACATGAAAATATTGAAGAAACACACATTTACTGGCAATTTTCTAACATTATTTAATAGAGAACTTATTATGCACTTCTGTGAACATGACTGTAAAATGTGACTGATTTTCTGAACAGTAAAACAGCTTTTATTAAAGGGATAGTTCGGCCAACAATGAAAGTGTGCTGTTGGTTTACTCTGAGATGCAGCTGACTGTTTTTCTTCAGTGGAACAGTAAAGAGGATTTTTTTAGCTGAAACCGTGCTCCATTGTCAGAAATGCAAAAAGAACATATCTTGACTTATCGAACATATCTGAAAGACTGGCGCTCTTTATTAAAAACACTGAGCAAAAACATCCTGTAGCTGCTGCTAAAATAGCTGCATTCTAATTACGACTGTCTCTCTTTGGCTTGTTTGTGCTTTAATACATTCAGTGCATCACATTTGCCAAATGAACATCCCCTGGTGTCTCTCTACAGCATAACCTTATCTGAAACCGTTTTGTTTCCAGATGTTTAAAGCTGCACCATGTAGGGTTTCTCTGCTGGAGATGAACAGATGTGAAACATGAAGCGAGTACATCATGCATCATCTTTCAGATCATGTTGTTGTCTGTGTTGAGCGTGTGCGCTGTGGTGGTGTGAGAGCTGCTGATGTGGTGCTTGTGTGTGCAGGTGGATGAGCGTCACCGGAGGAGCGTGCAGGGCTCTCCTCAGGCCGCCGTCATGCAGAAGCAGCCCCCCGCCGTGCCGCCGCGCTCAGAGCCCTTCTCCAACAGCAGCAGCAGCGCGGCCGAACCCAGCCACCGGCCCCCCGACCCGCAGGTAACCAGCAGCACTGCAGCTGTGTGTGATGCAGAGTCCTGTTGGTCCTGATGTGCCCTGACTGCTGTGTTTGGCAGGATTTGACGGCCCTCGCTAAAGAGCTGCGTGCCGTGGAGGACGTGCGTCCGCAGCACAAAGCCACCGACTACTCCTCCTCCAGCGATGACTCCGGGACCACTGACGATGAAGACGACGAGGAGGTGGATCAGGACGTGGGAGAGGAGTCGACGTCCGGCCCGGAGGACTCCCGCGGAGGGTAGGCATCGGTTCACTGATGTGCTGGAGATGTGTGTCATTCTTGAGAACTAAAATTTAAAGAACAGTGATGTTGTTCCCAGTCCATATGCTGTTAGATTTTCTGTGAAACACAAGAAGAAAGATCCTTTACAAAGCTCATAGTGACCACAGCTGTCAGAAGCATCAATGCAGTAGTCTGTGTGCTGTATAACCAGACTTCTGAACTTTATGGGCGAATTATTGACTTGAGAATCTTCGCTTTCTCACGTGGCACGTCAGTACCGTTGCTGCTCGTGTCACTCATTGAGTGAAGAGAATGAAGAATGACATCTGAGAGCTCAGCATTTGTGTTATTAGCCCAATATTTTCAGATGCTACACTGGACACATTCAAGATGACGGGTAAAGAAAAGTACAGGTAGAAAGAGATCGCAAAGACACGTGCATCATGCGTGAGTGCAGTAAACCTTCATAAACCACATGAGTTTTCAGAGTGGGTTTTGAAAGTGTGTGTAATGAGAGCATCTAGACACCAGATCATTCTCTGATTGACAGCTCGTCCAGACTCAGTAATGGTGAGATGGTAGCAGCGAAGACGATGGTTGTCCAAGACGACGACGCCTCCTCTACGCCGTGCAAAGACAGCACGCTGGTCATGCGACAGGTGCCACACACACACACACACTCACACACACTCACCGGCCTCCTGCTGAACACGGCTTCATGACCACTGCATTTGTGCACTTTAGAATAGGTGTCTGTACCTGCCATACACATACACTGAATGTGCACACTGGCACAGCCCAAATCCACCCATAGCCCAGCCTCAGAACTACAGCCGTACATTCCACCGAATGCACTTACCAAAGGAATTTTGTACACCTCATATAAAATGGGACCGTAAATGATGCTGTGATTACTGATCGTGGTATGGATGGATCCGGCATGAATTCCTCCTGCTGCTCACGACTCAAAAGCATTGGGCAGCTTTGGCCAATTTTGCTGTTTATCATCTCATCCCATCTCATTTATCAGCAGAACTATAATGTAGTGCCATAGTGATCACACACAGTATGGAAACACACAAATGTTGGACATTTTTTATTTGTATTTATGTTATTCTTTTCATTTTGTTTGGCCATTGTTACTGTTCTTTTCTTACAGAATTTCTTCATAGTCCTTGTTTTCTGAATGATTCTTTCTGTTAAGATCATATTAGAATGTTATTGTTTATTGCAAAAGAAAAAAAAAAATATATATTGGTAATTGCAAGTTTACCCCAGCAAAGGAAAACAGCGTTGACTTAAAGCATTGCACATGCATGGACCCAGACATTTACCTTTCTCAGTTCCAGAGATCAGGGCCTGTGACAGTGTTGGGTTCAGGCTGGAAAGACTCTCCTAGTCCCAGTCCTGTAGAGATTGGGCAGAGGAACTGCATTAGGGGTCGAAATCCCCTGCTGCCCGACCTGCTCCAGCAGAGTCAGCGCTCTCCCCCCTCTTCCTCCTCTCCCAGCAGCCCTGCCCTGTCCCCCCTCAGTCCCTCGGACAGAGTCCCGTGCCTTGCAGAGGTACGTCTGCCGTGAGCCGCAGTGACGGCCTCAGCCACTGGCTCCAGTGCAGTAGAAATGCAGTGTAGTGCTTCTCTGGTGTTCTGATGGTGGGAGGTTTTAGCTGTCTGTTAATGGTTCTACCTTTTTATGCTAGTAATTCTTTTGGCAAACTTCTAACTTCTTCTAACTGATTAACCAGCATCATTAACTGGTGAATAACACTTAACTGATGAGCCAGTCAAATTTGATAACACATGCTCAAGCAGATGTGCAAAAGGCATTTTTTTCTCCCCAACAAGTTTTACTGGCTGAAATGAGGTTCATGTGACTGATGCATATGTCTTGCAGTAGTTTTTATTTGAACATCTCAATAAAAAAAATTATAATTATAAATAATAGTTTAAAAGCAGCCAAGACAAAAACAACAAAAAAATTATAAACATTATAAAATAAAAAATGAATGTTAAGTTGGTAGCTTGTATGGCCAATTAACACAGAAGCAGTAGCATTTGCCAGTTTCAAGTAGTTATGACCTGACTTTTTGTATTATTCAAGTTTCTTGAGGTTCACTCATGTAAGTAGTTTTTAAAGGGTAAAGGGGACGTTGAGGCGTCATGATGAGGTAAAGCAAGCATTGAGGCGTCTTGATGAGGTAAAGGGGGCGTTGAGGCGTCGTGATGAGGTAAAGCAAGCATTGAGGCGTCGTGATGAGGTAAAGGGGCGTTGAGGCGTCGTGATGAGGTAAAGCAAGCATTGAGGCGTCGTGATGAGGTAAAGGGGCGTTGAGGCGTCGTGATGAGGTAAAGCAAGCATTGAGGCGTCGTGATGAGGTAAAGGGGCGTTGAGGCGTCGTGATGAGGTAAAGCAAGCATTGAGGCGTCGTGATGAGGTAAAGGGGCGTTGAGGCGTCGTGATGAGGTAAAGCAAGCATTGAGGCGTCGTGATGAGGTAAAGGGGCGTTGAGGCGTCGTGATGAGGTAAAGCAAGCATTGAGGCGTCGTGATGAGGTAAAGGGGCGTTGAGGCGTCGTGATGAGGTAAAGCAAGCATTGAGGCGTCGTGATGAGGTAAAGGGGCGTTGAGGCGTCGTGATGAGGTAAAGCAAGCATTGAGGCGTCGTGATGAGGTAAAGGGGCGTTGAGGCGTCGTGATGAGGTAAAGCAAGCATTGAGGCGTCGTGATGAGGTAAAGGGGCGTTGAGGCGTCGTGATGAGGTAAAGCAAGCATTGAGGCGTCGTGATGAGGTAAAGGGGCGTTGAGGCGTCGTGATGAGGTAAAGCAAGCATTGAGGCGTCGTGATGAGGTAAAGGGGCGTTGAGGCGTCGTGATGAGGTAAAGCAAGCATTGAGGCGTCGTGATGAGGTAAAGGGGCGTTGAGGCGTCGTGATGAGGTAAAGCAAGCATTGAGGCGTCGTGATGAGGTAAAGGGGCGTTGAGGCGTCGTGATGAGGTAAAGCAAGCATTGAGGCGTCGTGATGAGGTAAAGGGGCGTTGAGGCGTCGTGATGAGGTAAAGCAAGCATTGAGGCATCGTGATGAGGTAAAGCAAGCGTTGAGGCATCGTGATGAGGGAAAGCGGGCATTGAGGCGTCGTGATGAGGTAAAGGGGCGTTGAGGCGTCGGGATGAGTTAAAGCAAGCATTGAGGCATCGTGATGTGTTGAGGCGTCGTGATAAGGTAAAGGGGGTTGAGGCGTCATGATGAGGTAAAGCAAGCATTGAGGCGTCGTGATGAGGTAAAGCGTCGTGATGAGGTAAAGCACGCATTGAGGCGTTGTGATGAGGTAAAGCAAGCATTGAGGCATCGTGATGAGTTAAAGCAAGCCTTGAGGCGTCGTGATGAGGTAAAGGGGCGTTGAGGCGTCGTGATGAGGTAAAGCAAGCGTTGAGGCATCGTGATGAGGTAAAGCGGGCGTTGAGGCGTCGTGATGAGGTAAAGCAAGCGTTGAGGCATCGTGATGAGGTAAAGCGGGCGTTGAGGCGTCGTGATGAGGTAAAGCAAGCGTTGAGGCATCGTGATGAGGTAAAGCGGGCGTTGAGGCGTCGTGATGAGGTAAAGCAAGCGTTGAGGCATCGTGATGAGGTAAAGCGGGCGTTGAGGCGTCGTGATGAGGTAAAGCAAGCGTTGAGGCATCGTGATGAGGTAAAGCGGGCGTTGAGGCGTCGTGATGAGGTAAAGCAAGCGTTGAGGCATCGTGATGAGGTAAAGCGGGCGTTGAGGCGTCGTGATGAGGTAAAGCAAGCGTTGAGGCATCGTGATGAGGTAAAGCGGGCGTTGAGGCGTCGTGATGAGGTAAAGCAAGCGTTGAGGCATCGTGATGAGGTAAAGCGGGCGTTGAGGCGTCGTGATGAGGTAAAGCAAGCGTTGAGGCATCGTGATGAGGTAAAGCGGGCGTTGAGGCGTCGTGATGAGGTAAAGCAAGCGTTGAGGCATCGTGATGAGGTAAAGCGGGCGTTGAGGCGTCGTGATGAGGTAAAGCAAGCGTTGAGGCATCGTGATGAGGTAAAGCGGGCGTTGAGGCGTCGTGATGAGGTAAAGCAAGCGTTGAGGCATCGTGATGAGGTAAAGCGGGCGTTGAGGCGTCGTGATGAGGTAAAGCAAGCGTTGAGGCATCGTGATGAGGTAAAGCGGGCGTTGAGGCGTCGTGATGAGGTAAAGCAAGCGTTGAGGCATCGTGATGAGGTAAAGCGGGCGTTGAGGCGTCGTGATGAGGTAAAGCAAGCGTTGAGGCATCGTGATGAGGTAAAGCGGGCGTTGAGGCGTCGTGATGAGGTAAAGCAAGCGTTGAGGCATCGTGATGAGGTAAAGCGGGCGTTGAGGCGTCGTGATGAGGTAAAGCAAGCGTTGAGGCATCGTGATGAGGTAAAGCGGGCGTTGAGGCGTCGTGATGAGGTAAAGCAAGCGTTGAGGCATCGTGATGAGGTAAAGCGGGCGTTGAGGCGTCGTGATGAGGTAAAGCAAGCGTTGAGGCATCGTGATGAGGTAAAGCGGGCGTTGAGGCGTCGTGATGAGGTAAAGCAAGCGTTGAGGCATCGTGATGAGGTAAAGCGGGCGTTGAGGCGTCGTGATGAGGTAAAGCAAGCGTTGAGGCATCGTGATGAGGTAAAGCGGGCGTTGAGGCGTCGTGATGAGGTAAAGCAAGCGTTGAGGCATCGTGATGAGGTAAAGCGGGCGTTGAGGCGTCGTGATGAGGTAAAGCAAGCGTTGAGGCATCGTGATGAGGTAAAGCGGGCGTTGAGGCGTCGTGATGAGGTAAAGCAAGCGTTGAGGCATCGTGATGAGGTAAAGCGGGCGTTGAGGCGTCGTGATGAGGTAAAGCAAGCGTTGAGGCATCGTGATGAGGTAAAGCGGGCGTTGAGGCGTCGTGATGAGGTAAAGCAAGCGTTGAGGCATCGTGATGAGGTAAAGCGGGCGTTGAGGCGTCGTGATGAGGTAAAGCAAGCGTTGAGGCATCGTGATGAGGTAAAGCGGGCGTTGAGGCGTCGTGATGAGGTAAAGCAAGCGTTGAGGCATCGTGATGAGGTAAAGCGGGCGTTGAGGCGTCGTGATGAGGTAAAGCAAGCGTTGAGGCATCGTGATGAGGTAAAGCGGGCGTTGAGGCGTCGTGATGAGGTAAAGCAAGCGTTGAGGCATCGTGATGAGGTAAAGCGGGCGTTGAGGCGTCGTGATGAGGTAAAGCAAGCGTTGAGGCATCGTGATGAGGTAAAGCGGGCGTTGAGGCGTCGTGATGAGGTAAAGCAAGCGTTGAGGCATCGTGATGAGGTAAAGCGGGCGTTGAGGCGTCGTGATGAGGTAAAGCAAGCGTTGAGGCATCGTGATGAGGTAAAGCGGGCGTTGAGGCGTCGTGATGAGGTAAAGCAAGCGTTGAGGCATCGTGATGAGGTAAAGCGGGCGTTGAGGCGTCGTGATGAGGTAAAGCAAGCGTTGAGGCATCGTGATGAGGTAAAGCGGGCGTTGAGGCGTCGTGATGAGGTAAAGCAAGCGTTGAGGCATCGTGATGAGGTAAAGCGGGCGTTGAGGCGTCGTGATGAGGTAAAGCAAGCGTTGAGGCATCGTGATGAGGTAAAGCGGGCGTTGAGGCGTCGTGATGAGGTAAAGCAAGCGTTGAGGCATCGTGATGAGGTAAAGCGGGCGTTGAGGCGTCGTGATGAGGTAAAGCAAGCGTTGAGGCATCGTGATGAGGTAAAGCGGGCGTTGAGGCGTCGTGATGAGGTAAAGCAAGCGTTGAGGCATCGTGATGAGGTAAAGCGGGCGTTGAGGCGTCGTGATGAGGTAAAGCAAGCGTTGAGGCATCGTGATGAGGTAAAGCGGGCGTTGAGGCGTCGTGATGAGGTAAAGCAAGCGTTGAGGCATCGTGATGAGGTAAAGCGGGCGTTGAGGCGTCGTGATGAGGTAAAGGGTACGTTGAGGCATCGTGATGAGGTAAAGGGGGCGTTGAGGCATTGTGATGAGGTAAAGGGGCGTTGAGGCGTCATGATGAGATAAAGCAAGCATTGAGGCGTCGTGATGAGGTAAAGGGGGCATTGAGGCATCGTGATTAGGTAAAGCCGGCGTTAAGGCGTCGTGATGAGGTAAAGGGGCGTTGAGGCGTCATGATGAGGTAAAGCAAGCATTGAGGCATCGTGATGAGGTAAAGCCGTGATGAGGTAAAGGGGCGTTGAAGCGTCGTGATAAGGTAAAAGGGGCGTTGAGGCGTCATGATGAGGTAAAGGGGCATTGAGGCGTCGTGATGAGGTAAAGGGGCGTTTGAGGCATCGTGATTAGGTAAAGCCGGCGTTAAGGCGTCGTGATGAGGTAAAGGGGCGTGTTGAGGCATCGTGATGAGGTAAAGGGGCGTTGAGGCATCGCGATGAAGTAAAGGGGGCGTTGAGGTGTCGTGATGAGGTAAAGGGGCATTGAGGCGTCGTGATGAGGTAAAGCAAGCGTTGAGGATGAGGTAAAGCAAGCATTGAGGCGTCGTGATGAGGTAAAGGGGGTGTTGAGGCGTCGTGATGCGGTAAAGGGGCGTTGAGGCGTCGTGATTAGGTAAAGGGGCGTTGAGGTGTCGTGATTAGGTAAAGGGGCGTTGAGGCGTCGTGATGAGGTAAAGTGTTACAATGGCGGCAGTCAGATGCAAAGATCTACCACAGTGTGAGCCCAGAATGTGGAGTAAACAGGCCAGTTACATTAAACTCTAGTGAGAAGGAATTTTAGTCTGAGTTACAGTAATTATGGTTCCATGACCTATCTATGAAAAGATCAGACAATCTAATTTCTCATGTCATGAGCCCCTCAACAATGGCATAATACAAGGTTGTTGTTGTTTTTTTATCAAAGTGTGCTACTGGGCTGTTCTAATCACTTGTTTAGAAAGACGATCATATTGACGTGGGCAGGGATCAGTGTGATACGCAGCCAGTTGATGGTTGAAAATACATGTTTTGAAGACAAGTACACAGTACACATTATCATTACATGGATTCATAGTACAAGATTTCAACCATTTATGACGATTAATTTGAAAATTTTAGATTGGAGAGTTGCATGTTTCGGACAGGGTTTAGGTGATATTTGAGGTGACATTAGCTGTTTGAATAGTTAGCTACAGGTTACAACGTTGTTACAAAGGCAAAGCTGGAAACTTAATTCACCGTTTAGAAAGATGCCACTTATGCTTAATGCAGATCCAGTATGTTTTTATTTTCGGAAGTTGAGGTCCAGTTTGTAACAGTAAAGAAACATAGAGGTAAAATGTATGTATCTAAAAAGTGATAATTACATAAAAAATACCTACATTTCTTTTATTTCTGTCCCCCTTTCTTCTCTCTCCCTTTCTTGCAGATCATTTATATATCATTTATATTGGGTAGATTTTTCCAATTTTATTATCATTATTTTATTATTATTTATTTATTTTAGTATTTTATTATTATTATTATTATTATTTATTAACACCTTTTTTTGTGATGTGACCCCATCTGTACAGGGTCGAGATTGAAAAACAGTGATAACACTCATTAGCTTAATGATTTTTTTGTTCTTTTCTGGTTTGAAAACCAAAGTTAAAACAACTTGGTATATGAGGGAGGAGTATGCTCTTGAGTTTCTCTACATGACTCATGAGAAGAAACTCTTTCTTTGCAGCGTTGTCTCTGATTACAGCAGAGAATTCAAATCTCATTTAACTGAGCCCCAGAAACCAAGAAAAGACAGTTTCTCAGGGTTTCTCCTTTAGCTTGCTTGCATCCATTTCCTCCACTTTTGTTCTTTCTTTCTTAGAATTGTAATGATCGTTGTTTCCATCATTCAATTCATCTTTTTTTCCCACCAACCACCATCAAGTCATTCAGCATGTTTTGTCATCTGTGTGTTTAGTTGTAGCTGTTAGACTGTTAGTCTTAAGCTTTTTACAAGCATTATTACAATTAATAAACTAGAGAATGCTTACATTTTGAGTGTTATTCTGCTCTTTAACTTTGAGGTGTAACTGTTTGTTTAGGTATTTTCTCATTCTTTGCTCATAATGTTCTCACAGACTCCCACCGTGCCGAAGCACAAGTCTTCCTCATCTTTCACACCCTTCATTGACCCGCGTCTCCTCCAGGTCTCTCCATCCACCGGCAGCGCGCTCAATAATGCTGGTAAGTGTGATGACTGCAGTTCCCTGTGTGGCCAGCAGAGGACAGTCTCATTGCTGGAGCATCATGGTCCACTGGAAACACGGCCATCATAAGAGCCTCACCCTAACCTAACCTCTAGTTCTGCTGCTTTTGAAGAACACGACAAACAAGTTGAAATTATTTTTTGTGGTAATCAACATTATGACACAAATGCTGTCGATTGAACCCAAAATAACATGACAGAGATTTTGATGTTTTAATAATAATCAGGACCGGATTATCATGTCTATCATTTGACCTTTTTGTCAGATCTGATGTTCGCTCAGCCTTCTGTCGCGCAGCTGCTGAACTTCTCATCAAAACAATAGCTAGCGTTCAGACACGATAAAGCACGATACTCTTTTCTCTTGTTCTTGTGTGGAAAAATTAACATGAATGCTTTATGAATGATTTTAAACAAATATAATAATTTATATGAATTTTTTTGCTCCTTGGCAAACTAATGATATTTTAAGTCCAGTCAAATCAAATGTCATTCAATTACATGTTTTTAAAATTATATAGGGGTTAATGTAATACACCACCATTCAAAAGGGGATCAGTAAGATTTTTTTAATGGTTTTGAAAGAAGCCTCTTCTGCTCAGCTGCATTTATTTGATCAACAATACCGTAAAAACTAGTATCACAAAATTTCACTATGTTATTGTCCAGCTCTAATCTGCTAAATGTGATTATAAGGTATTATAAACGTAAACTTCATGATTTTTTTTTATTGTAAAGCTGCTTGAAACGATGTGTATTGTGAAAATCTCTGTATAAATAAATGTGGCCTGATTTGACTTGGTTCCTCAGGTTACAGTAATGACGCTCGACTGCAGGAGGCTCTGCGGCAGGACGCGTCTCGTAAGGGATCGGTGGTCAACGTCAATCCTGTCAACACACGGCCACAGAACGACACGCCAGAGATCCGCAAGTACAAGAAGAGGTTCAATTCAGAGATCCTGTGCGCTGCTCTCTGGGGTGAGTGATGTTAAAAACCAGAGCCCACAAAGAGCATGTCATGATTCCTGACCCAAAAGACAGAATCGACCACCAGAGTCTGACCGTAAGGGCAGGAACAAACAATCACCAAAATCAGAGGAACCAAGGCTCTGTGATATTGATATGTCAGTGCACGTTTTAGCATTTATTTGTTACATGTGCAAAGCATTATTTTGATGAGTTGTTCACTAGTTACCTAAGAGCTGACACTGACTCTCAAACCTGAAGTAGTGAAGTGAAACTCCAGCAGGATTTGCTCTTAGCAGTGAAAGAAGTGCGGTTCAGTCTTCAATTACAGCAGCTATGAATCCAGTACTACAGAAACACACAACGACACTACAGACTGCTTCTTCTCAAATCACAGAAAAATCAGGCCTGTGTGCTGTGTATATCACAACAAGACTCTGAAACAACTTTCTATTTCGGCTCTCTGCCTTCAAACCATCCTTCATACAATCAGAGTTTTATTTCCAGGTATGTTTACACATATGAGGAATTGGTCATGGTGACAGAAGCTTGCACAGCACAGACAGAAACTTCTCACCATCCAGTCAAGTCCTTGTGTATAAAAAAAAAACTGCATGAAAATTTTTTGGGTTTCAGAAATGCGTGACATTGCAGAAGAAAAGTAGGCTTTGAACAGTGTCGTGTGAATTAACACTCAAGTTCCAGTTTACTGGAGTGTGTTGATGATGCCAGAAAAGCATGATTGAAGACCCATATTACTGCATCAGTAATGAGATCAGCGAGTCATCTTGAGGTGGTTTCTGGATGCTTGTGTGTGCTTTGTGGTCACTGAATCACCGCTGGCCATCAAACATAGGCAGTGTGACTTAGGTTTCAGTGATTTTGTACATGTCAGTGTGATTGGGACGTCAGAGGACTGTCTGAAGACGTGTTTCCCTGTCTTTCTGTCTTCTCTTCAGGTGTGAATCTGTTGGTTGGGACGGAGAGCGGCCTCATGCTGCTGGATCGCAGCGGTCAGGGGAAAGTCTACCCGCTCATAAGCCGCAGACGCTTCCAGCAGATGGATGTTCTGGAGGGACTCAATGTGCTCGTGACGATATCAGGTAACGCAGCCTCACTTTAACACGCGTGATCTCTGGATAGTGAACAGCACAGAAGGCAGGGAGGTTGTTTCTGTGTGTTCGTGTGACAGCAGGCATATTTCAGTGTCACTTCGCTGTTGCGTAACATCCTCTCGTGTTATTTGGTTCTCTCGAATACAAGCACAATGTAGTTCCTGTATTTTCCTCTGTTTCTGTCTCTGTGGTCGAGTCTCAGACATGACGTGTGATGTGGAAACTGTGATCAGTTTAAAACTGAGCAATTGTGCAAATGCTGTTTGAATATTGCGCTAACACATGCTGTAGTTTATCATGTTTAGACGTGGTGAAATATTCCATTACACACACAGACGCTTTTGAAACAGCTGTGGGATTTAAGAAACTTTCATTACACTCTTAAGATCCAAATCAGCCTCACAAGGTGGTAAACTGGGGAAAATATTTTGTTATATACAGATCCTCCTGTCAACCCTATTGGCAAAAGGCATCTTAGGAACCGCACTCCATTGGTTGGAGTCTTACCTCTCAGATAGGTCCTTCAAGGTAACTTGGAGAGGTGAGGTGTCCAAGTCACAACATCTAGCTACTGGGGTGCCTCAGGGCTCAGTACTTGGACCACTTCTCTTCTCTGTCTACATGGCATCCCTAGGTTCTGTCATTCAGAAACATGGCTTTTCATATCACTGCTATGCTGATGACACTCAACTCTACCTCTCATTCCATCCTGATGATCCGACAAAAGCTGCTCAAATCTCAGCTTGTCTAACAGACATTTCTTGATGGATGACAGACCCATCACCTTCAACTCAACCTGGCTAAGACAGAACTGCTTGTGGTTTCAACAAACCCATCACTTTATCAAAATTTCACCATCCAGTTAGGCTAATCATCCATAACTCCTTCAAAAACAGCTCGAAACCTTGGAGTTGTGATTGATGATAAGCTGAATTTCTCAGACCACATTGCTAAAACTGCCCGGTCCTGCAGATTTGCTTTATACAACATTAGAAAGATCAGGCCCTTTCTTTCAGAACAATGCAACACAACTCCTTGTTCAAGCTCTTGTTCTATCCAGGCTGGACTATAGCAATGCTCTCTTGGCAGGTCTTCCAGCCACTTCTATCAAACCTCTACAATTAATCCAAAATGCCGCTGCAAGATTAATCTTTAATGAGCCAAAAAGAACGCACGTCACACCACTTCTATCAAACCTCTACAACTAATCCAGAACGTGTCAGCAAGAGTAGTCTTTAACGAGCCGAAAAGCTCTGCACCCCTTTACCTAAATTCATTACTTCAGATTTATGTGCCTCTAGAAGCTTGCGTTCTGCAAGTGAATGGCGCTTTATTGTTCATCCCAAAGAAGCACAAAATCACTTTCACAGACTTTTACATTAACTGTTCCCTCCTGGTGGAATGACCTGCCCAACTCAATCCCAGCAGCTGAGTCCTTAGCCATCTTCAAGAATCAGCTAAAAACACATCTCTTCCATCTTTATTTGACCCTCTAACTCTAGCACTCTCTATTCTAATTCTATTCTTACTACTTGTCTTCTTTAAAAAAAAAAGAAAGACCCTCTGACACTAGTCCCTAGTCTTTTTCTATTTCTGTTATCTGCTTGTTTTCTTTTTATTCATTATAAATAAAAAAAACTTGCTATGTGTACTGTGTTAAGCTAACTGAGACTTCTCACAGCACATATTATTGTCCTTTTGTTGTTCTGATTGCTTCTATTGTTCTCACTTGTAAGTTGCTTTGGATAAAAGCGTCTGCTTAATGTAATGTAAATGAAATAGAGCTGATAAGCTGTCATTCATCTGTCTAACTCATTTATAACAGCACAGGACCGTTTAAAATGAACTCTAAAACTGCGTTCTCCCAAATACTGAAACATGAGACTGGCGTGGGAACCGCCGTCTCCTTGCAGTGGATCTCCGTGTGCCGCTGTTTGACTTCTTTACACATTTCAAAAGCCCTTCAGAGTAAATGAGCTGATACAACATACCTACATATACAGCGAGCACATTTAGCCCAGCACACAGCATTGATCTGGATGTTCTGTAAGTTTGGACCAAAAGAGCAAGAGAACTGAACAATTTTTTTTTTTGTAGGGAAGAAGAATAAATTGCGGGTGTACTATCTGTCCTGGCTGAGGAACAAGATCCTCCATAATGACCCTGAGGTGGAGAAGAAGCAGGGCTGGACCACCGTAGGAGATCTAGAGGGCTGTGTGCACTACAATGTTGGTATGTGTTCATATCTGAATGATTCTGTGCTGCTTTGTGATTTCTGCTCCTTAATCAGGCATTGATCTGATCGTCTGCATTTGTCGCACAGTACTTGCACTGACGTGTGTGGTTTGTTTCTCTGTAGTGAAGTACGAGAGGATCAAGTTCTTGGTTCTGGCCCTGAAGAATTCAGTAGAGGTGTACGCGTGGGCTCCCAAACCGTACCATAAATTCATGGCTTTCAAGGTGAATACACTAGAATGACCGTGAGTGTGAGTCAAGCGTGATGTTTTGAGCTGTGCAGGAGTCAGTCTAGTCCAGTGCTTCTCAACTGGTTTGGCCATGGGACACACATTTTCCCATGGTCATCAAGCCATGACCCACTTTTTTATAATATAGATAGATAGATATAGATATAGATATAGATAGACCCACTCAGAATGCAATATGTTTTTAAGCAATTTCAGCTATTTGTTCTATGCATTAGAAGAAGTGTAAGAACACGTTTATATGTGTATGCAAACATTGTTCTGGTGGAAATTTCGTGTGAGAGCATAATTGTGCAGCTTCTACACACAGTTGCTAGTGAATGTTAGCATGCTTTATTTTTAATTTGATAAAAATGGTTCATCTAGGGATTTTGGGGGGGCTTCATCTTTCAGCTATGAAATCATCTGCATCGGCAGTGTCACGTAATTGTCCGTGAGATTTAATTCTGTGAGTGACATTTTCCAAAGACAAGCACTCTTGGTTTCAGTGATCGTTTACGTGATGACAGAAGGACAGGTTTTCCATCAACGACCAGCAGCTGGTTTCTAGAGTAAGGGAGAGGTGTGACTGGAGTTAGTTTGATGCTCTCGGACACAAACACCATCCATCCTAACCCCTCAAACCACTTGTGTTTCAGACGTGTTGTTCTCTCTCACCACACCTCCTATTCCTCACTCGAGCACTGAAGCTTTACATGCATTCAGTGGCTATGAACATTAGCAATGATTGCAAATGACAGAACAAAGGCCGCTTGTTAACACTAAGAACGATAACTATGAAGTGTTTAGCCTCCAGATGACAACTTTAACAATAACAACACAGAGGGACAATATCGGTGGAATCGCTTTCAGAGCGATAAATGATAACAACATTGACAGCCAATCAGAATCCAGCTGACTTTCAAGAGCTTGAGCGTTTAAAGTGGCAGATGACAGAACTAATAAACAGAACATTATCATTCGCTGGTCTGGATGCTAATGTAGTTATCGTTGTTGGTGTGGATGGGCCTTATAACTGACATATGCTGATATTTTTTGTGATCTTTAAGATTCTCACAATGAAAGAATGACAAACCTGAGACGTTTTCCTCTTTGTGTGGTAGTCGTTCGGTGATCTGGTGCACAAGCCGCTGCTGGTTGACCTCACAGTTGAAGAAGGCCAAAGGTTAAAGGTCATCTATGGGTCCTGCTCTGGCTTTCATGCTGTGGATGTGGACTCAGGAGCCGTCTATGACATTTATCTGCCAACTCACGTATGTACTGATGGTGAAAAGCATCTAAGTTTGTCCAGCGGTGTGTTCCTGACCCTTCATCTTCCTCTTTCTTCATTGCTTTAGATTCAGACCAGTATTCAGTCGCATGCCATCATCATCCTGCCAAACACGGATGGCATTGAGCTGCTGGTGTGTTATGAAGACGAGGGCGTGTATGTCAACACCTACGGCCGCATCACCAAAGACGTGGTGCTCCAGTGGGGCGAGATGCCCACCTCCATCGGTGTGTGAAGGATGCCTCCACTGCTATTCAATCCTCACTGTGTCTTGGTTTTAAGAAAGCCAAGTAGTATTTTATTAGTCAGTAACTGTCAGTATCTTTACATGTAGTTATAGTCAAGCTGCAGTGATTTTTGCATAGTTGAGCTTCACTGTACAAGTATTATTGAATATGTGAAGTGTTGAATACACATCACGTATCACACCAGCCGCTCTAAAGGGAAGAGTTCAGTGCTGGGAAGGACTCTAGCCCAGAACAGCCAAGCTATTAACATCGTCAAAATAGAAAAGCTCTATTTTTATTACAGCTACTGAGGGCGTGACATGTAAATTTGACATCTTTCTCTCTTTTGATTGTCATCTTCCATCTATCTCTTTTTTTTCCTTAAAAAATTGCATTTGATGTAGTCTCCCATATCCATATAGAAGTTTATCCTACTACTTTAGTTTGCTTTTGAGTGCTGTTTGCTTTCAGTCACTGTATTTTGTCCTGACTGTAAGCCTGGCTTATTTATTTGATAATTCACTGAGATATTAAATAGGCAGGGCAAACGGCCAGTAATGATTTTTAGGGGTCCAAGCACCAGGTGCTGGAAAAACCTAATGTGTTTGTACTGATTTTCTTATTTTCCTTATTGCTGCCATAAAAGATTATGGGCGTCAGAGACCATTAATTATAGAGACTCCAGACTTGGTCCCAAACGTGCACATCTACTCAGTCACAGACACACCAACCGACTTTGAGACATTTTGTTTTAAGGGTTTAGCAGTGATTTTGGACTTCATTAAAATAATTTGTGAGATTTTTAAACATCTTGTGCTTGAGTTGGAGCCCCACTGATGACAGAATGATCTCAGTATCTCAGCATGATGCCACTGGCATGAAGCAGCAAGCACCCAGCAGAAGGTTTGGATGGCGACACATGACTGTGCTCTCACCGAAATCCTGGCCTCTTTGCATTCCTTTTCCCAGCATTTGCCATCTCCTCAAATCTCATCCGACTCTTCATCAGCTCCCGCCTCTCAGTCACCTGATGCATCGCCTCTAACCCCCCAGCGCTTCTCTGCTGATCCCAGTGCACCCTAATGTTCAAGCTTCAGCTGTTCTCTTCCCTCTGGACCATTCACATATGGCCAGGATCATCACTCTCCTCTCAGTCACGGGTGACCACTATGTGGGAAGGTCAGGGTGGCTCGTGCTCTGGTGCATTTGACCATCCTGTCTTCCGCCGTAAGGTGTCCAAAGCCTCGTTCAGACTGTCAAATCTGATTGAAATCTGACCCTGTTTACATAGTCTGAATGGCAACAAACTACATGAAATATAATTTTTGCAAATCCGTTTTGAGCTACATTCATATGTGTTTTGAAATCCTTTTCAAATCGAATTTCTGGAAATGCTTTTCAGTCTGACTGCTCAGATCGGATTTTGCGTAGCTTTTTCACGTTCGCACGCCACGTAAAAAGTAAACACATCAGAAAACATGGTGAACGTCCTTGCAGAAACAAGGTTGTGTTGTTGTGAATAGCAAGGCAAGTGGAAAATGACAATATACTGCTAGTCTACCCACCCAGTTTTGAGAGCAGCGGAGAGACGGCAGCACAGAACACTGCCTCATAAGACGTAATGTTACGGGCAGCCGTAGTGTAGATGGCATCCAGTGTGAATGATGAGGCCCAGACGGAAGCTGGATGGAATGGGCTCACAGAGGCTGTCTAAGACAGATTAGCTGTGTGAGGGGCTGTGGGAGATCTAGAAGCACTCATAGACATGACTGTGCAGCTGGATCTTCACCTGAGGGTTCACTCCTCACACTCCAGAGCCCATGACTCCTGCACAGTGAGACTGAAGAATGAAAATCACATTGTCTATACTGCACTCAACCTGGCCGTTATTGCTCAACTTCTTGGGAAAAGCCCAAACCTGTCCAGTCCAACACCGTTGACAGCTCTGTCCCGTCCTGACTGCCACACTCACACGGTGATAAATGGGGTGTCCTGCAGGGCCGAGTGGATTCTGGAACAGCGGGAAACTTCATGGACCAATCGCAAATCCTCAACACCTCCATGGGTGTCCTTTAGAGAAAGGCGGTGTGTTTTGATAACTCCACCTTGCACCTGTCTGTGCACCAGCATCAGGAGCAAGTGCTGTTCCACCTGATTTACTCCTTTGACTTCCCTCTGGCTCATCTGACACCACCCTCACTCTGGGTGCTCCTCTGGCATCATCCTGGAGTGGGACCCTCGATGCCAGACCACATGTCTGTTCCCCCGAAACCTCCCTTTGAGCATCTAGAGTCTCTGGAGTCCCTCCCCAGGACTCTGACCTTCAGGAGGAGTTCAGGTCCTACAGCTGCGCTATCGAGCTGCTCTTCCCCATATCTTCTCAGTAGTCGTGCCTCCGCTGTCGAGTCTAAGCATGCGCACTAGTGCGTGTCAGGGACAGTCGTGCTTCCACCGTCTCTTCTGGGGCTTGATCAGGCCTCGTCTGTGCTTCCAGTGACTGTTACCTTGGTCCAAAGCAGCTCAACTGAGTCGTAAACAAAGGTGGAGACGGTCAGCACTGATGCTTATCTCCTTTTGTTTTCATCAACATCTGAGAAATTTAAAACCATTTTTCTACTCAACCTGCTTTCTGCGCAAAACTCACTTCATATTAAATATGAATGAATGTTCCCTTATGTTTTTATTTTGTACTATCTGTTTAATGACCGTCAGTGAGTCTGACCATCTCTCAGTGTGATCTCAGTGCCTCGTTATCATAATGAATGCTTATAGTCATTAGCTGAAGTGTTAGTGTTCTCGTCGTGTCAGGTGCTGCATTAAAAGGCTTTCATGTGTGTGCTGTGGATTAACCCTTACGTTACAGGAGCTAAAATAAGAGCAGCATGACGTGATATTAGAATAAAAAGGGGGCCTTTATTTTCCAAATTGTATTTTTTTTTTGGTTAAATTAAATTTAAGTTATTAAAAAAAAATGTCTAATTAATCGAAATTCTGAAAATTACATACAATTTAACAACAATTTACAAAAATTACATATTTAGGGTCCCATGAAATAGAGAGTGAAGAGAAGGATGGAGAATTTGAATTTAGGAAAAATAACCTGAGGCAGAAGTCTCTAAACTCATCCTTTCTAATCATCCTACTACTTGTCCGCTTGATCCTATTCCATCTCATCTCCTTCAGGCCATTTCTCCTGCCGTTGTACCTGCACTCACTCACATCGTTAACACATCCCTTCACACTGGTGTTTTTCCCTCAACATTTAAACAGGCTCGTATAACCCCACTTCTTAAGAAACCCACCCTTAACCCATCTCTTTTAGAGAACTACAGACCGGTTTCCCGTCTACCTTTCATTGTAAAAACACTTGAACGAGTTGTGTTCAACCAAGTCTCAGCCTTTCTCACACAGAACAACCTCCTGGACAGCAACCAATCTGGCTTCAGAAGTGAACATTCGACCGAGACTGCCTTGCTTTCAGTTGTTGAAGCCCTAAGACTGGCAAGAGCGGCTTCCAAATCTTCTATACTTATTTTGCTGGATCTGTCTGCTGCTTTTGATACGGTGAACCACCAGATTCTCCTGTCAACCCTATTGGAAAATGGCATCTCAGGAACCGCACGCCAGTGGTTTGAGTCTTACCTCTCAGATAGGTCCTTCAAGGTATCTTGGAGAGGTGAGGTGTCCAAGTCGCAACATCTAGCTACTGGGGTGCCTCAGGGCTCAGTACTTGGACCACTTCTCTTCTCTATCTACATGGCATCACTAGGTTCTGTCATTCAGAAACATGGCTTTTCATATCACTGCTATGCTGATGACACTCAACTCTACCTCTCATTCCATCCTGATGATCCGACGATAGCTGCTCGCATCTCAGCATGTCTAACAGACATTTCTTGTTGGATGACGGACCATCACCTTCAACTCAACCTGGCTAAGACAGAACTGCTTGTGGTTTCAACAAACCCATCACTTTATCAAAATTTCACCATCCAGTTAGGCTCATCAACCATAACTCCTTCAAAAACAGCTAGAAACCTTGGAGTTGTGATTGATGATAAGCTGAATTTCTCAGACCACATTGCTAAAACTGCCCGGTCCTGCAGATTTGCTTTATACAACATTAGGAAGATCAGGCCCTTTCTTTCAGAACATGCAACACAACTCCTTGTTCAAGCTCTTGTTCTATCCAGGCTGGACTATTGCAATGCTCTCTTGGCAGGTCTTCCAGCCACTTCTATCAAACCTCTACAATTAATCCAAAATGCCGCTGCAAGATTAATCTTTAATGAACCGAAAAGAACGCATGTCACACCTCTGTTCATCAATTTGCACTGGCTACCAGTAGCTGCTCGCATTAAATTCAAGGCATTAATGTTTGCCTACAAAACCACCACTGGCTCTGCACCCATTTACCTAAATTCATTACTTCAGAGTTATGTGCCCTCTAGAAGCTTGCGTTCTGCAAGTGAACGGCGTATTATTGTGCCATCTAAAAGAGGCACAAAATCACTTTCACAGACTTTTTCATTAACTGTTCCCTCCTGGTGGAATGACCTGCCCAAATCAATCCGAGCAGCTGAGTCCTTAACCATCTTCAAGAAACGACTAAAAACACATCTGTTCCACCTTTATTTGACCCTCTAACTCTAGCACTTTCTATTCTATTTAAATCTACTTTATATATTTATCTTCTTTTTTTATAAAAAAATGCTTTGAATGCACCAGTAAATACCCCTGTAAATGTTGTACAGGAGGTTCTGTGATGGATTGATGGGTGCGGGGGAGTGGAAGAAAACTCCCTGTCATATAATGAAAGATGAGGCAAGTTTCAAGAAATCACTTAACAGAGCAGCAGTGTACCGGCTAATCCATATGGTTCTGCTTTGAACTGTCTTGTACGGTGACCGGGAGGGGACATGTTTGGTTCACTTAGTTTTGTCGTGACCACGACATATTAACTCGTGGGAACGTGTTAATGTGTCATGGCCACGAGATATTAATTTGTGGGAATGTCATATTAACTCATGGGAACGTGATAATATGTTGTGGTCATTTTCATTTTGTCGAGGTAAAGACATCTTTATGTCGTGGCCACGAGATCCTATGTTGAGGGAACAACATCCATTTCTCGTGGATATGACTTCTTATGCTTCTTATGAACAACATATTTGTAGGGTGACCATACGTGCCATTTTCCCAGGACGCGTCCTGGCCAGGATTTGTTTTGGCTTTGTTTTCCTGTTTTCATGCTTGGTGAAGGTAATGATCGAAAAGTAGTTTGACCAATAACATGCAAGCATTGTACATAATGGACCAATCATGGCGTGTGAGAAGGTGGGATCTACGGTCAAAGCAATGCAATTATGCGTACATAGGATGTGTGTTCGACTTAAAAGCAGTGCGGCTCAGATCGATCAGTGTTTGACATCAAAGTACCTCGAGAGCATTTGGAAAGCATAAGGAACCGTCTGTATGGTACTTTGATGCCATACACCGATCGGTCTGCACACGCAAACAAAGCCAAAACCTAGATATTTTAGGCAATATAGAAATCCTGGCCAGGACGCGTCCGGGGAAAATGGCACGTATGGTCACCCTAGTTATAGTATTTAAATTAAAAGTATATTCTTATCAAATGACAACCTCTGTATAAATTTTACTGACTCCATGATGCCTAAAAATTAATTGCAAACTTACAGTATGTTTAGCTATGACAGCATTTTGTAAAAACAGAGAGGTAATTCAAGGTGGATATTTTAAAAGCGTCAGCTTCTATATTTGTGTCTAGACCATGTTGTTTTACTATAGAGTGGGTGTACTTGACTACAGAGGGTCTGAAGCGTGTATGAATATGAGTTCCTGTGCTGCCTACTGCAGCCTGTTCAATGTGTCAGAAGAAAATAAAATAGAGCAGGAGGCTTCCATTGTAGTGAGACCAAAATCGCAAGACACCCAGTTTCAATACTCAGTCTGATACACCTAATTAGAGTATTTACACATTTGTGGTTAAAGGAATCGTTTTCCCACAAAGGCAAATTTGCTGAAAATTTACTCAACCTCAGGCCATCTAAGATGTGGATGAGTTTGTTTCTTCATCAGAACAGATTTGGAGAAATGTGGAGTCCAAACAGCTGATAAAAACCTCACAGTAATCCATAAGTAATCGACACGTCTCCAGTCCATCAATTAACGGCCTGTCAAGCGGAAAGTTGCATTATTGTTAGAAACAAATCCATTTTAGACGTTTTAACTTCAAACCATTGCTTCCAGCTAAAATACATATTTCAGCTATGCATTTTAAACATATACATAGTATTTTACAAATATGTATGGTAAAATTCATACATAATCCATAAAAACACTTACTCTAGTGAAAACGTCCATTCCGTCCTCATTTCACATCAAAATCTACCAACATATTTGGACCTGTTTTCGACTGTTATTGCTTGTAAATTATGCTTGATTCGTGCATATTTCTCTCCTGATTTAGACAAGATGATTTTTTAAAAATATATATACTGGAGAAAGCAATATTATGACTAGAGGACTGGTATTTTAGCCGGAAAAGAGTTTTGATGGATTTGTTTATTACAAACATGAAGCGTTTCACTTCACAAGACATTAATTGATGGACTGGAGTGGTGTGGATTACTTGTGGATTATTGTGATGTTTTTATCAGCTGTTTGGACTCTCATTCTGACGGCACCCATTCACTGCAGAGGATTCATTGATGAAAAACTGATGTAATAATTATAATTTAATAATTTATGCATTTAGCAGACGCTTTTATCCAAGACGCTTTTATTATTTTTAATAATAATAATAAATCATGACTATTTTCATAATGACTGAAAATGGTAGTTGCAAACAAATTCACGCCATTAAGCCAATTCACGTTAAGCTTCCCTAAACACTAGGTTTATTTATAGGGCAAACAACATACAAACTGTTTAGCATTAAAGGATTAGTTCACTACCAAAATAAAAATTTCCTGATAATTTACTCACCCCCATGTCATCCAAGATGTTCATGTCTTCTTTCAGTCGCAAAGAAATTAAGGTTTTTGAGGAAAACATTGCAGGATTTTTCTCCATATAATGGACTTCAATGGGACCCAACGGGTTGAAGGTTTCAGTACA